GGCAGAAGACCCGGAGCCCCGAAGACCTCGCTAGAGTTGCAAGAGGCTCGCTAAGGCCGCCGTCGCCAAGGCGAAGAACACGGAGATGGACGCCTTGTACGAGAAGTTGGAAAGCAGAAACGCAGAGAAGTTCGTCTTCAGGCTGGCTAAGGCCCGGCATCGGCTACCAAGACATCAGGGTGGTGAAGAGTGTAAAAGGCAGCGATGGTGTCATCCTAAGGAAGCCAGCCGAAGTCAGGAGGGGGAAGAGTACTTCAGGGGCTTCTGAACGAGGAGTTCCCCCACAAGAACAACTCACGGGCAGAGGCCACAGCTGGTCCCATCGCACTCTGGACAGAGGATGAGGTTAGGTGTGCACTTGGGAGGATGAAGGTTGGAAAGGCGGTTGGTCCAGATGGGGTGCCAATCGAGGCATGGAAGGCGCTCGGAGAGTACGGCATAAGGTGGCTCACCAGCTTCCTGAACAAGGTAACAGTGGAAGGAAAGATGCCGGATGCCTGGAGAACAAGTACTATCGTCCCCATCTTCAAACAGAAGGGTGACGCGATGGACTGCTCCAACTACCGCGGGATCAAGTTGACTGCGCATACCATGAAGTTGTACGAGCGGCTGGTCGACTCGAAGCTGCGGGAGCTGGTCCCGATCTCCCAGGAACAGTTCGGGTTCATGCCCGAAAGATCTACAACGGATGCCATCTTCATCGCCAGGCAAGTGATGGAGAAGTATCGCGAAAAGCGCAGGCCTTGCTACCTAGCCTTCCTCGACCTGGAAAAGGCGTTCGACCGGCTACCGCGAGCAGTACTATGGAGATCGCTCAGGGAACGAAACGTGCCAGAACACCTGATCTCTCTGGTGAAGGACATGTACGAAGGAGCCAAGGCAGCTATACGCACCCCACACGGCCTAACGAAGGAGGTGGACATCACGGTTGGGGTGCACCAAGGGTCAGCTCTGAGCCCGTTCCTCTTCCTCCTAACACTAGATGTCCTGGTGAAGGGGCTCATGGAGGGACCACTGAAGACCATCCTCTGACGACATCGCCCTGATAGCGGATAGCAGAGAGGAACTTCAAGCCAAGGTGCAGAAATGGCAGAAGTCCTGGCAGAAGGTGGGCTCCGGCTGAATGTCAAGAAGACCAAGTTCCTGAGCTCCGAAGAGGGTGCAGAGCCGATCGTGGACGGCCATGGTGAGACCATCGAAAGAGTGGAGGACTTCCGATACCTTGGGAGCGATCTGGCAGCCGACGGTAGTGTGGATCAGGCAGTGAAGGCTCGGTCAACGCTGCATGGATGAAATGGAGGGAGTCCACTGGAATCCTCTGCGATCGAAGGTGCTCCAGAACGCTCAAAGGGAAGGTGTACCGGACAGTGGTAAGGCCTGCGATGCTATACGGCAGCGAGTGCTGGCCCCTGAACAAGAATCACGAAAGGCAGCTTCACTCCGCTGAGATGAGGATGCTGAGATGGGCCTGCGGCTGGACGCGACTGGACAGGGTCAGAAACGAGGATGTCAGAGCGGTCATGCAGACTGCCCCTGTCCAGCTGAAGGTGCGAGAACAGCGCCTGCGATGGTATGGGCACGTGCTAAGGAGGCCACAGGATCATCCGATAAAAAAGCGATGGACTTCGAAGTGCAAGGCAAGCGACCGCGAGGAGCCCCAAAGAAGAGGTGGAGAGACGTAAGAAGGATCTAAGTGAAGTCATGGCCACAGCAGAAGATGCCCTGGACAGAGCAAAGTGGCGACGACTGACAAAGACAGCGGACCCTGCGACTGCGCGGGACTAACGCTAGGGAGAAGAAGGTGTTGCCGTCGTGCCTCTCAAGATGAATGAAAGAAGAGTCGCGGGAGAAAAAAGGAATTGCGGGTTGCATACACATCAGTACGTTGCCGGCTAAGGCTACATAAAATCGCAGGAACGGTTTTGCTAATCAGGACGAAATATAGTTTTCTGCTTCAATTATATGAAATATATTATCCAAAGATGAAATCCTAAAATCTCCAGACAGAAGACAGAAGGGACAGGAATCTTCAGACAACGCATCCCCCTAGGACAGGGTGTTCGGGCCCTTCTAATACCCGTTCTGCCGTGTCCTCGGTGCTCCGCCACCGATGCGCTTCATCCACCACCACCTCGGGGCACCAGGTCGCGACAGCCATTGAAAGATGGCAGAAAACCCAGAAGCCATTTCTTGTATGAATTTTACTCAACGTAATCTTCGGTGGACCGTTTAGTGCTGTCGCTGCGGAGGTCGGACCCCTTTGATTCCGAAGCAGAGTATCATTCCCAGCAGTTCCTTATGCATTGGTTTCTATTCCTTACGGAAGGAGTCCTCCGTGGTCGAATGACTCGATTCCTGGACCTGCTAAAGAGGTGCGCTATCAGAAATGAGGAAAATTCCCGTTGGAAGTTCTACGGGTTGGACAATGTTTCAACAATGTTGCAGCTGAATATCGTCCACTTATTTAGAAATCCTTTCGTTCTGAGCGCATAAAATCACTTTTATCCCACACCACTACCCATCAAGAACGGTTACCTTCTTTAGCACTGAAGAGTCCAAGCACGCAACCCCATGTGCTTCGCAACGATTCAAGCTGCAAGCAGGGGTGATTGACGACATTATTCCTTCCTTCCTCGCAGAGTGCACCAGGCTGAGTGCGGTGCCGTTTGAGACCCCAACCTCTCCTGCCCCACCTGTAGCTAAGTGTCTGTGATAAGCTTCCTTCGTTTTTTATGTGTAATTTTCGTGTACCAAGAACCTTTCTCTACTACGTGCATCATTTTCGAGCTTCATTTTTTAAAACAAACTTGACGAGCTAGTTTGCACTGTGCATTCAAGGCAGTCGCCAAATTACGAGCCGACCATGGTGTGTCTCATCAAATTTGAAGACATGAAATGCTAACAGTAGAAAATCACGGTTTTTTTTAGCTAAAGGGGAGAGGGGGAGTAAATCGACGAAAGCTATCTAGATCACTTTAAGGAAGCCTTAATACGGATATGAAAGGGCTGGTCTCCGTCTACAAGGTGCCATCCGGAATGTCTGAGCATTTGCGTAAGAAAGTACCAGAAATGTAGGGAAATGTAAATGCAAAAGTACTAATTTTCGATTGGATATTTCAAGGAAGTAATGGCATCCATTGTGTAAAAACCCGAATAGGCCAATAGTTTTCCATGTTATTTTGGCAGAAACCCTCACAGCCATATTGAGATTTTTTTTAACAAGATCGTCTACACTGAAGCGCCCTTTCCGTTTGACGACTGGATGCTTTGAATGAAGCCATGGCTTCTGGAAGGTACATAAGAGCTCCACATCCCCAAAATTTTCCTCGTTAGTTTTGTCGTATATGATATTTCTCATCATGCTGCACGAGCTAGCACCTTTTAGAAAGAACTAGTCGAGAAACTTGCAAAATGTCTTTCAAGTTTTTGATTCTACATTTCTTAAGAAATTTATAACCACTCATAGTTGCTCACGATTCTCAACTTTGCTCCTACGCATAGCGCGCCCCAAGGCTGACGAGTTGTAACTGCAGTCGCAGTTATTCATGTGCTGTTGTACGGTGAAACTCCAGTTCGGGGGGGGGGCACTCCATTGCTATCTTATCCGTAGTACTAGAGAGCAGTTCTTTGGGCTATCGAACACTACGGATAAGATAATAAGTGAACGACTCATTTCGAGCGTACTTTTGATAAGGACCGGTGGATGTCCTACATTCCACACTACCTGCCCACATCCCATCCACTTTTCTGCACAGGTGATCCACCCTGGAGCTCCTGCACCCTTAGCCCTTTGCGGAGGTGTCCTTTCTCCTGGTCCAGGACCGTCACCCATTACACCAATATTTATCAGAAGTCTACTTTAAATGAGTCGATTACGTGTCGTGAGCCCTCTAATCCTTATCTTGAGTATTGGAGAAAAAATGGAGTGCCCCCCCCCCGAACTGGAGTTTCACCGTCTGTACACAGAGATTTGTGCATGGACCCTTCGTTACTGTGGGGTGGGGAGGGGAGCAGGTGCGGTTTTCCTCGACACCTCACTTGACTCCAGTACGAGCGGCTGATGATCGACAAAACTTCTAGTAACAAAGTACACAGTAGACACTACTACTGGGAACTGCTAGTAACTCAGAGGGATAAATCGAACATATTTTGAATTTATTTTTGACGACAATAAAATTATTCTAACAAAAAAAATCGCTGATGGGTATCAAATACGAAGAAAAAATGTGTGCTAAATTACAACAAAGGTGCAAATGCATTTGGAGAGCGGACAGAAAGAGCGAAATCCTAACATGGACAAATGACGCGTGAAATGCGCAGGCGAGAAGGTGGGTGCGGAATACCTGAAGCATGAATGTTACGATAGAAACAGTAGGGCGATGTTATGTTTAGCAATTTTCATCCCTCAGAAAAGATCGTTAACTGTGAAAACACTATGAAGCTATAAGTTGCCGCTCCGCATCTCTGACAACCTGAACATCGACCGTTTGGGACCATACAATTTGAGAGAACGAGCGTCTCGGTGATATTCCGGCTTTTGTCAACGGATCGATAAGCAGATTGACAAAGTAAGAATGAAATGGAAAAAAAATAATATTGACGCATCCAACGACCCTCAAGGTGCGCCAGCCAATGAAACAAACAGGGAGAAGTGACCAACGGGGCGGAGGGCTGTAGAAAAACCGAGTTCGCGCGTACGACTAGACAGTAGGTACAACATCTATGACAGCTGCCGTCGGTTGCGGTTTGATCATGTTCAATGAAACACTGAATGAACAGTGACAAAGACGATACATAACAGGTCTGTGAAATATAGGTGAAATGAAGAAAAAAAAATAAAGGAGAAAAACAGTAACGCGTGCACGTATATATACGAACGTAGTCAACAAGCAGATATCGATCGATATAATATTAAAGGAAACAAACAAAATACAGAGCTAAAATAGACATCGATGTTATCGATTTCCTCAACAAAATACGTATGTCTCGCGGAAATGTGCCTAATTGGTGCTGAATGCATGTTGAAGCAACAGTACAGCACATCGTATCACTTCTATGAAGACGATGAAATACAAGTAAAGAACGCAGGAAACCTGAAAATGGAAAAAAATCAGAAGAAAATAAAGAAATTAGTCCTTAACAAATATGGTCCCTCAAAGGAGGAAAAAATTACAGTCTCATGCTTGCTGATTACATTTTCTTGAATACTAATAAATAAATGTTCTCGAAGAATAATGGACTGTCTGTCGCGTACTCGAAATCAGATTGATGAAAGCGCGGGTGGCTGTAGGCTTGAGGCTAAAACGGTTCCAACACAACACCCACAAAGCAAGGTACGTGCGTTGCTCTGATTTCAAAAATTTGCCCCCCCCCCCTTTCTTTGAAGGGACTACTCCTGACTCCACCACATCCCACCGCTTCTGCACATGATTCGCGCTTGCGTACCATTGCATATTTGACGGGGAAAACAAATTTCGATCAGAAATCCAGCAATATGCTTTAAAGGAGGCCTTTACACGAACCCCCACCTCAGTTCCACCATCAGACTTAGGGACTACCCCCAATAAGACCCCTCCACAGTTCCTGATTATCGCCCTCACCATGGCTGGTTTTCTAAAATTCGATTCTGACACCAGTCGACAGAATAACCCACTCAGCCTACTTTTCCCTACCGTCGACCGGGATAGGAGAGGAGTGGGGTGCTAATATGTTGATATTTCGTAAGAAATGGAAATCTTCTACTTTTCCTAGC